TTTCATAAAAGAGTGTATTGGGAGGGATTTATAAAAAAAAAAAAGCATATATAATGAGAGAGAGAGAGAGAGAGAGAGAGAGAGAGAGAGAGATACCATGGCAACGGCTGCCTCGTATGGAGATGGCTGAGCGGTAAAGCAGAAACGGCCTCGCTAAAATCCTTGTTGGTTTTGCGTTTTATAGGGTCTGCCCGTAAAATCCCCTTGCCCGCCCAGTTTAACTAGCTTAAAATGCTCATTATTTTGCAACTTCGGTGCTGCTTCTTATTTACGTATTTGTAAATTCTCAATCAATTTTAACCAAACGATTAAGACAGAAAAAGACTGAGACCTTGGAGTGCAAGTTCAAGTTGAATCCACAAAATGCAGTTTTCTTGTATTTATCAGAATCAGAAAGAAACAATCGAGACTATGACATTGGGACTACGGAGGAAAAGGATACAGATGGCAAGGCAAATCCTGAGATCCAATATATAATAATGTAGGTGGCCATTACATCTTTGTTAGACTTTAGACTTTCTATCTACGCTGTTCGTTTTGGTTGTATGAGGAGGAGAAGAATCACTTCGTTGTTGTAATAAGGTAAGGTTACGGGTCTTTCCCATCATGCTACAAATACAAGTTACAACTAAAACTGTAAACAGCGAGGCCATATAATAACACGAATTTGGCTTCGTTGATTCCCATAATAATAATGGTGGGCATGGGCTGCCTACACCAATTGATGCAAATCCCTCTCCCGACGAAGACTGCCGCTTCCTGCGAAATGCACAAATGGATAGAGAGGCTAGATGTTAAATCAGGCAAGAAATGACAGAACCAGAAGCACGGAATGCACATGTATATGACAAACTGAACTAGGGAACGTCTCTTCTTTTAATTGAATGTATAAGCATATCTAAGACCAAAAACCAGATCTTATAAAAAAGAACTGTCACTGAGGCATACCCCAGTACGCCCTTTATTGAGTTCCACAAGGATGCAACACGACTAGTCCCCTGGCTTGAAGCACTGGTTCTATGCATGGCAAAATTCGCATCTTGTGTCCCTGAAACAGGACAACATGAATTTTTCTCAGTCATTGTTTAAACCTACTTTTTTTTTTTTTTTTTTTCTAATTAGATAGTGGTCCATAATAGACTTGAAAACTATACCCGTGCCTTTGGAAGCAACTGAATGACCTTCTCTAGATGCCTTTAGTGAAGCCAGCTCTTCAACAAGTACGCGTTCCTTATCACTGTCATTAAAATTACAACAAATTCAATGAAAAACAGAACACAAGGTATTGGGATATCAAGCTGGATGCCATATTTAACTGAGAAGTTTAAACTAGAAGAAGAATCATAACATGGTTTAAGGACATCAACCTGATTGTCTTTGGGATCAGAACATTGACAACAAAGTGATGATCTCCTCGAGTAGAAGGTTTGTTCATGTCTGGAACCCCCATGCGCAGCAACTTTACTGTTTCACCAGGTTGAATTCCAGAAGGAATCTGAAGCTCTTTCAAGCCTTCAACAGTTTCAACCTGAAGATAATTAACAGTTTCCATGTCATACAGCTTGTACAAACTTTTCAAGTCGCAGAGATACCACTTGGCTTCACCCTAAATATTACAAATCCCCAAGCTTATCAAACACCATATCAGGGAAGACAGTACACAAGCAATATATGTCGAAAATTGTATACTGTTATGGGTCCCATGGGTATCATTGGTAAAGTTAAGCATATCAATTCAATCATCTTGTCCCATGATCTGTTACTCAGTAAATTAAACCTCAGTGATGTTCAGGAGGTACTACTATCGCAGGCTTCTACAGACAGGAGCTCAATTTGATAATGCAATGAATTTTCTCCATTCCTGTACACCCTCACTAACACTAATTCATAATGCTTGGATTACCTTTATAACAGTCCCTAAAATGGCCTCGGTATAATCAATCTTTATCTTTGAGTACAGATTGAGTCCATCTCTATGAATTCCAGCCTTTCTGTCTATATGAAGCACGATGAAGACATCACCAACTGTACCCCTGCCATAATGCAGATAATAAAGAAAATTAGTGCAGGGCATGCCTTAATATCCAGTCACATAAAGCAACAATATTGAACAAGTAAAAACCGATCCCAGAAATTCTAAAAGTATAACATAAAAGTGCATGCCATGGTTGTCATAGACAATCAAATTCCAAACAAATCAGGACTAGAATTTCCAAAAAATTGCAAAAGCCAATATGAACTCCACTACTACATCACAATAGATTCCAAAGCTCAAATGGTATTCCAAGGAATTGCAAAAGCCAATGTAAACTCCACGAGTAGATTTGTATTTTATTTGGAATTCGTTTCTATCGACAAGGTTGTATGTTTCAAACGTATTGAATTAACAACCACTTAGGACAGAAAGCAACAACTAGAAACCACTTCTTGACAACCAAATCATGATTACTACTACGACACCAGATTTATTTCTTTTAATTCACATTTCATCTTTAATAATCCCCTTCTAATTCTCCAATCCTCCTGCCCAAACATTAATCTAGCTCAGCTTTTAAGCAGTGTCCATCTGTAAGAAACAGACAAAGCTGATGTGCTGCCTTTTCTAAGATCTAAATGCAAAGAATATACGAGCAATATTTGATGCACACATAAATTTGAACCGTGTATACACCTTTTTTTATCAAGATTTCCCTCCCCTTGAATTTGCATTGTGGCTCCATCGTTAACACCGGCTGGGATGGTCACACTCATAAGTCTTTTGGACTGTACTTGTCCCTTGCCACTGCATCTTTGGCAAGGATCAGTGATTATTCTACCATCACCGCCACACTTTGAGCAGGTTGATACCTATGAATCATAAAATATCATCTATAAAGCATATCTCTTAAGACATATATAGAGATCTTGAGGGAATGGTAGGAAGAATACAGATTAATTAAGATATGTTCGAAATTTCAATAACTTATAAAATACACTCATATACACAGAACGACTGTGAGATTTCCGTACAAGCTACCTATGGTGTCTGCAATATGAGGCTAAGAAAATTTATTCAAAATATGTAATGTAATTCCAACGATTTTTAATGTTCTAAACAGGTATTTTTACCTGTGATATCATGCCAAATGGTGTTCTCTGAGTTTTCATCACCCCTCCTCTTCCTCCACAACCAGTACATGATTTTATGCAATTATCAGATTTAGCACCTGTTCCACCACAATTATCACATGTCTCAACCGAAGAAACTTCAATTTCCCTCTGTACTCCGAAAATGGATTCTTCAAAGCTCAGATACAGATCATACCTGCAGTATGGAAATTAAAAGGAGAGGCCTGGAAAACATAAATTTTGTGCTTTCAACAACAAACATGTGGATTTGGTGCTAAATTCAAGGACTATTATTAGAGCCACTATTTTCCCTAAGTCAATATTTGAAGTTTGAGTGTTATAAGTTGATATCAACAATATTTTTCGTCTTCAACCTGTTACTAGTTCTTATATAATATATCACATAAATACTAGTCTTGACATTGAGAGAGAGAGAGAGAGAGAGATTAGCCTCTAGGTGGTTGAACTTTGCAGGTTATGCATTTCATTTCTCAAATACATTATTTGCAATACGTAATATAAGTAAACTCAAATATTCTATACAAAATAGAATGGGACAGATCATTCAATAGTAACATTGCAGCTAGACAGTTACCTAATGTCTAGACCCTGGTTTCCCCTGTTCCTCAAATTGAAGTTAAAGCCTCCTGATTCACCCCTTCCTCCAAAAATCCCATCTGACCCTCCAAAGAATGTATCAAAAACGTCAAAAGGATCCACCTAATGATTTTTGATGATTCATCAGCATGCAGTTAAAATGACCAGTTCTTTCACTAGAAAAGCAAATCCATTAAATTACTAAGTAAAATACCCAAAGGATATGTGTGTATGTGTATGCGCAGAGATCTTACTCCTGTTGAACCCATGGTCGAAGAATCATATTCTCCCTGTAAACCTGCTTCACCAAAGCGATCATATAAAGACCTTTTCTCATCATCTGATAGGACCTACACAACTGCTTCATTAGCATATGAATGAAAAAGGAAGCACTGATACATTATGCAATATATTCAGTAGGTTCATAGAACAACAGCCAAAGCAACTTTATTCAACATCAAACAATACATCACCAGACTGAGTGAAATTTATTCAATTAAAACATGAAGTGCGGGTTAAACGTTTGCATTTGAAGATAAGTGAATTTAAAATATCCATCTTTTACTCAAAAGTGAAGCAAAAATACATAAATGGGAAAATGAAGAGACAAAATGACAATGCAGCATTTTAGGAGAAGCAAAACTAGAAACAGTAATACCTCATATGCAGAACTAATCTCTTTAAACTTGTCCTCAGCCCCAGCACCCTTGTTTAAGTCTGGATGATACTGTTCCAAGTTCCAACAATTGGGATATCAAATTTCAATGCCATGTAAAATGGATAGTTAAACATCTTTCCTTTTTCTTCAATTTCTTTACAAATAACATGAATTGCAAAAGAAACTGAAAACAAACAGAAAACGAATAAGAACAAGCTAACCTTGCGAGCGAGCTTCCGATAAGAGGACTTGATCTCCTGCAACGTGGCACTTCTAGGGACGTTGAGAGTCTTATAATAATCAGTTCCAGCGGCCTGGATGACCAAACGAGCACCCCTTGGGGGCTTCGTACGGAGGAAAGGAGCGTAATTGGGCTTGAAGATTGGGTTGCTATTTCTGGTAAAGAATGCAGAAGCTCTGGAGCTGAGGGTGGAGCAGCTCAAAGAATAGGGTGGAAGTGGAACCGTAGAGTTGGGGATTGGCAGGACATTTGACATGCAGGTGCTTTGGATGATGGGCATGCTTGGATTTTTAGATTCTCGGAATTGGACTGGTGGTACGGATGGTTAACGGATATTAAAGGTTGTGGGGGTTTGCAGAGGTTTTAGGGTGATTGGATATTATGCTGAAGAAGAAGTAGAAGGTAGTCAGAACGAACAAAACTAAAGTACCGTCCTGAGCGGCAAATATATTTGCGGATACGACAAAAGATCTTGAGGCTAATATGAGAATATTACAAAATAGATAATGTCCTTTTTACCATAGTAGAGTACAAAAGTAGAAAGGGCATAATGGACTTTTTCGGTTTCAATTGTGATATGAATTTTCAACAGAGGTGACACATTTTTGGCTATTAGCAGATTAACCCAATTTTGATGGCTAAGATTGCATTGAACTATATAGTAAATCAAATTATGAAGCAATAATAGCTCAGATGCTATCTTAACCATCAAAACTGAGTTAATCTGGCTAAAAAAGCATGCGCAAATATGTACCAAAAATGCATTTTCGTCTATCCTTCCTCCAATATCGCTTGTATAACTAAATAAAGACGTCCTCACGTGTTTTTAGCAGAGCAAGAGTGAGTGCTGTGCTGCTTTGTTTGGTGATCAGTATGTTGTATGAACACTACCCACGAGTGACAACTGATTGAGTGCATGAATAATCGGGACATGGGATTATCCAAACAACTTATTTACATAAAATCATTCAGTTGATTTCCAGCATATGAAATGAAGTACTGAATCATAGTAGGATCTTTTCAAGAGTTAGGAACTAATAATACAGTCAATGCCACAGCAGGTGAAAGGTCTGTTCCTAAATCATGAGTCATACAAAATTCCACCTAGGCTCAAAACACTCAGATAAAAAACAACTAAAGTGCTCTTGCTTCATCAACTCGAGGTTATAGAGAGGGCATCTTGTCTGCTAGTTTAAGCTCATCCATCAGCAGAAGTGCCACTGATTTTTATCCCATCCCTTGACCTAGAATTTGAACTCAATTGAAGGAATTAAACACAAAATTATTATTATGCAGAAAACTAGGCATTGAATATGAGATTTAGAACAAACGGATATAACAAATCTGAATCAACAATTAATGGAGAACTAGACACATACATCTGTATATTGCTACCCCAGTTGGAGCCATATTTCGCTTGTTTAGGCAAATCGAACTAATATATATATAAAGAACATTAAGTCTTCATTCAGTCTCCATAACATAAGCTCATAAAGTTGAATCAGTAAATATATACCTGTTACATATCCAGTAAGGGTTTACTCCTTTCTCTTCTATGCAATGTGGGCACATCCATTTCCTGTTTTCTCTCACTTCCTCCAATTCTGACAAGGAATTGCAATTCAATACCTAAGAATTTTCCTCATATGGTGCATGTAATTGCTTTTCTTATGTCTGTCTTTGTAAAACGACTTACCTTCACCGTACCTAACCTTGAGACAACCTCGACAAAGAACACCTCTGCTAGAATGGCAAACTGAACAATCCGTTTTTCCTAAGCACATATAAGGTTTAAGAAATGTCACAACAGTTGAAGGTGTGTCAGACTCAGAATGTCAAAGTGATGATCACATTTTAGAGAACTAACCAATGCATGGCTGGTCCATATCAAAATTACCGCATCACTTGCAATCTTCTTCACCGCACAACTGCCTGCACTTACATGCATCAGATCTTAGACTAGTAACAATATAATTGAATAGTTTTAGTAAAGTTTAAAGAACATTATTAATTCACAGGTTTCGATACTTATTTGATCTTTACCGCCTGTTAGTGTTATGCAATTGATTCAAATATGGCAACATTGTGAAGCAAACTAGTTAGTTACTCACAGCCCTCCACAAATCAGGATAAAAAAAGAGGACAAAATCTGCACATTTTAGATCATGAAAAGCAGGCTAGGCAAACAGATTGTCTACACCAATAATCAATCAATAGAACCAATCAAAATCCAGATGAGTTATAAATGAAGTTTACTGTCCAAAATCCAACAATCAAACCAAAAGCAACAAGATGGCCATGTTCAACTAGCTATCTAATATCTTAGTATCAAACTTCATTCTGTCTTGCTATACAACTCAAAGACGACAAAAAATTGTAACCAAAAGGTTAAGGCATAAAACCTGCATAAATGGCAATGAATCCCAAAAACCGGGTGATAGACACTGCCACGGCCCTTGCTATTGCAACGCTGAGCCGCAGACTCGGAAGAAAGCTGGAGCTCCGATTTCCTTACATCCACCAAAGGCGCATTTGCAGGTCTCCTCTCTTCACTTTCTCCGCCAGTTAAACTCCCTTCACGAAAAACAATTTAGAACTTCCAAATAAAAGAACTTGTAAGGATTTCTCAGCTACCAAACAGAGAAAAAGGATTGAATTGATCACCGGATTTACCTCTTAACCTCTCAGAACGTCGAAATGAAGCGTTCTTTGAGACAGTGGCAGTAGCAGTGGCAGTGGCAGTTATTTCCTTCAAGCGATTAGAGCGGCGCAAAGAGGTGAGCTCGTAGACTTTCTTGCGGTAATCTCTGACATGGGTTTTGGGTGGTTTTGCAGATGAAGCTATGGATCGGAGCTCGGTGATGGTTTTGTGCAGTCCCAACGAAGTCAACCGAGCCTGTAAATTCACCATTCCCATTAGCCAATAGTCAAGCCAACATTATTCGTTTATCAAGCAAGAAAAGAAAAGAAAAGAATAAACAAGAGTGTCAGCCAAAGAGAAGAGAAGAGGACCTGTCACCTACCTGATTTTCCAATATTCGAGCATTTCTGACATTTTCATAGTCACTGTTAGCTTGGCCCCTCCCCATTCTTGTTTTGCTTCGATTCAATTTCAAGGGGACGAGCTTTTTATATGCTTACACGAGACGAGGAATTAAGATACGTTTTCCTCTCTTGTTTTAATCATTTTGAATTTTAAATGGCGGAGAAGCATAAATAATGCATCGACCATTTGATGAACGCCACCTTACCAGAAACCATTTGCTGACTTCAATTAAGGGGAATGAACGGGCAATGTTAAATTTTAAGGGCAATTAAAGATCTGAACCATCGGTGAATGAACGCTTGGATCTATCTCACATTGTATTTATATAGTTTTTTTATACAAGCGATATTGGATGATCGGGAATCGAATCTTAGGACCTCCGCTGCATGAGGATATATTCTTAACCATTTTACTATTATAATTTATATTCAAATACAGAGGGGACAAGTTCACATAGAAAAGAATGAATCAATTGAAATTGAATTGAAAGAATGGAATTTGTACATGTACAAGTTGTTTTGTCTCTAAGATCTTCAACTACATTGTACAGTTTCGCAATCAGCTCTCGTTTTGGTGACAAGTTAACTCGAGAAGGAACGATGGCAGGAACAAAACAAGGGGAACACCCCCCCAACTGTGATTCTGTGAAGGCCACAAACACCTAAGATGATGGTTCTATTGCACTTCCTCATTCCTAATCTGAGCTTTCTTTGGACAAAGAAAACTACTGCCTACATCCGCTTGGTCCTCCAAAATTTGAGAGGAAGAAAACAAACTCCAAAGCTATGGAATTCTACGTGCATTTTGTTTCTTCTCCTGCCTGTTGGGGGTGCATTTGTCGACAAACTAAATTCTCCAAAGCTTCCCTCATCCACACATTTTGACATGCTTCTCTAGCTTCGGCAACAGACATCTACAAAATATATACCATAAATTTTAGAACTACTGATACTATGAAAGTGAGAAATCTACACACAATTGAACCAGAAAGTAAAGATGTCCGGAGACAGTAAAGCATATATTGCAATTCCACATACCCATTGTCGTTTTCTGGCACTTTGCTCGGGCCATAAGTCCAGTTGCTGCTGGACGAGTAAAGGGAACATGTACCCCTCATGAACTGTGCCATGGCTTTTGCTCTTATAACGCCACACACCCAATTTACTCTGCAAGTACATACAAACAATGGATGAGTAAATGGATGCAATTCGATGAAAATTAAGCTGGACTGATTTAGGATTAGTTTTGCAGATACTCACTCCAAGATGGCCAATCACACCGGCTTCCTCTAGCGTCTCCCTTTTAGCCGCGTCCTCGATAGACTCATCAATTTCCCAACCTCCCTATAATCAATCACATTGCAGTTGCGCAAACGTTTAGGATAATGAATAAAACAGAAAATGCGTCTAATTTAAAATGGCAGGAGCACAGCCATAAGAAACAAATCCTGGGATCAAAGGCAGTACCTTTGGGAACAACATTCCTTGACCCTTCTGTGAACTAATCACAAGAACTTCTAATTCCTCAAGAGATGAAGATTGTTCGGTTTTCCTAAATCTGTACGGTATGCATCTGCAGAATTAACCCCAAACAATTAGATTACAAGATACAAAATCCCAACAAATACTTTAATGAAAAAGAAGAAGAAGGATAAACCATATCGAAATTTGATCACAAATTTCATTCATTTAACAAAGACCCACTTGAGAATTTCTTAATTCAAGGCTCTAATATTCAAGAATCTTAGAGCCTACAAAACAAAGCTGTGAAATTGGAGGAGGGAAACATACCCTACAACTTGGCGACAACCTTTATCATAGCGCTGCATATGCCTTCCCGTCCGGGACACCAAGGAAACCACGTCCTCAATTTGCATGGGAATGAAATTCCCACCATTTTTCTTGGAGAAAAGAGAAGAGAAAACAAAATCTGCAATATTTCTTGAGAGAAAGAGACCCATGGTCACTTGCTAGGCAAACTTTCGCTACGTGTAGGAGAAAGGAAAGAAATTGAATATTTCTTCTTCAAAGATTCAAAGAAAGAGACCCACCAATTTTGGGGGATATCTAACCAAATTGGGCAAAGAAGGAAATGGAAATTCTAAAAATAGATTGGAATATGCGAGGGAGCAAAGGAGAGGTCCTTGATAGTTTCAGCTTGGGAGGAGCGAAAGCCTTTTTTTGCATCGAAATGCGAATTTGAGTGAGTGAGTATGAAACTGCTTCTTCAAGCTCCTTCCTTCAATTGATAAATATCTGGGATTATATAGAAGAGGAGGGAAGGAAAGCCACAGCTGTTTGATTTAGAATGGCAACGGACGCGCATGTGGAAGCGAAGAAGCGACGCTTGACAAAGACCTTTCTTTTCCCCTTTGTCTTTTTACTCTCTCAAGTCATAAAATCATATCGCGTCTGCTATTTATCCTACCCGCCCCATTTTTGTATCGTCTTTGTTTTTTCTGTTTTCCGTTTTTTGTTTCTTTAATTAACGGAATAAAAAGGTTAATAGTTATAGTAAAAACCAAAAACACACAACAAATAACCAAACGTTATTAGAACCTCTCTCTTTTTTTTCTTTTTTTTCCTTACCTATTTTATCTTTTCTGTTCATTTCAAAAACTACCATATGCAAGTCATTAGAGATCAAATAACTTTATTAACGGCAATCTAAACTATTCTTCAATTTATAAGGAGAGAGATTCAAACTTGAGTTTACCACGATGGGCTCACTGTCCTCGCTCATTTGCCAAATGGATTAATCCATGTTTGCTTATATTATAAGATATGAAAAATAGAAATAAGAAAAATTGTAATAGAGTAAATATATGTGTTTACTTAGCCTCGAGATTGTGGTCACTCACCATTGAAATTAAAGTAAATTTAGGTTTTAGCCACACACAAAAAAAAAAAAATTCACTTTTGAAAAAAACCAGTTTTTTTTAAAAAAAAGACAGAAAAATCTCTCAACTTTCAAATCAAAGACATGCAAATGTAAATGATTCATTAGGAAATCCAAAAATAAATAAGGGCAATTTTGTTCATTTTGACTTCTTTTAAAAAATTTCTCTCTCCTTTGATCATTTCCAAAGTCTTTCTTGAATTAATATCCAACAGTTCAAAAAAATTTCTTAAAAGAAGTGTAAGAGTGAGTGAACCATTGAATTTACATCTAACGATAAGTGACCACAAATCTCTCGCACTCATGTAGTCCAAGATATCAAGACTATGTATTTACTAGTGTAAAATTTTAGGATGTGTTATGGAGAGTAGAGTGTAAAGTCAACGCGCTAAAGCGAGAGTAGGAAGAATTTTCAACTCCTTTGAATATTGAGAAATAAATAATAAAATAATGTTGCATGATTGGGAGATAAGAACAAAAAATAGAGGACGTGTTGGGGAGAGAGAGGCTTGGGGTTTGGTTTGGTTGGCTTATCTCGACGATGACGAAAGTGTAGCTGACGCGTTTTGGATGAGAAATAATGGAATAGGAGTAGCAGCACTCGGTTTCTTCAAACATAAAAAAAAAATGTGGGCTCTGACTCTGATTGATGAAAGTGGAAACCAGTAACCCTAGCTAATTAGCTTAACACGGTTTCAATTCAAAGCTCCATACTTCTCTATTTACGACTGATACGACTAGTATGATATGCCTAATTTGGAAAGTCGTTTCTGCTCTGGCCTTGCGACGACATTTTCCACTCTCACTCACACTACTGTGCTTCTGTTGCTGCTGCTTTCAAACGCAAACCAAAACATATATATATATATATATTATATGCGTGTAAATATTGATCTTCTCTTCCTCCTTCGAGCTGTTTCCAAGCTGTTATTTTTAGTTTCAAGCTAATAATCTTTTTTTTGGGGTAGTTTATTTGCTGCAGAAATAATGAAACGTGATGGATCTCTGGCCAGGCCTTGACTCTTCTTTAGTCTCCTGCACAAATTAGTAAATTACTCCGTACTTACGTACATTTTCAAGCACGTTGAAAAGGTGGGATATGTAATACAAATTTCGTTGCTGGGTGTTCCGTGGGTTGAACTTTGAACACAACTGCGCTTAAGCTGCTACCCAGCTGACCAACAATGTGTGCATATATATATATATATATATATCTGCGTACACACACACCCAATAACAACAACAAAAAGCCATGCAATGCAAGTTGCAACTACTCACTCATCACCCGTTTAGTGATGAGTCAACCCATACAAGTAAACTGTCGCCATTCCATGTACAACACAAAAGGCACAAAAGATATTTTATATGCAAGGGTCCACTTGTTAGTGATGCCATTTCTGTGGTGCTCATTAATTTTCTGCGGAGTCAATTTATGGGGTCTAGTCTAATCCAGCTCAGGGACCAGAACTCTCGGTTACTGATTAGATTCCCAATAACTTTTTCCTTGGCCAAGTGAAACAAATCGTTGGAATGCACATGTTAGGGACCGTTGGGGATGAAGGAACCCTACTTTTCGCCACGAAGTGTGAAACATATAATTTGATTGCTTGCATTTGCATCTTAGAAAGAAAGGTACGTAATATGACGACAAACTTTAGTGGTTGAAGCGATAAGGAGGCTGTGATTCAAATCATTAGCAGAATTAATTCATAATGTCAAAAACTAATACCAACATATTAACAGTCATAATCTGAGATTCCAGATGCTACAGAATTTAGCAATGTATGCTTTAATTGAGTTGACGAGGGGAAAGCTACAGTGACTTTTTTAAAAATAAAAAATATATATATATAAGTGATAATCTAAATTATAAAACAAAAAAATAGATTTTTTAACATACACTATTAAAATGTCATGATGTTTCAGATGTCGACAGAAGCCTACAAGACTTCAAATATGATCAAGGAGCAAGTTGGGGAAATGGTGGGATACAACTTTGCAAAAGGTAGTTAGACCATCTCCAACCCTTGGGGTGGAAACTCAAATTTTGAGTTTAGCCTCCAAAAACCATCTCCAACCCATGTATTTTGGGGGGTGGAAATTTGAGAAATCTCAAATCTTGGGTGGAATTCCAGTCCCATTTTT